CCTCAGCTCAGCTCCCTGCGAAAGGGAAGGGAGGGCTGCTCTAGCGCCCCCCAGCTTCTAGCCTGAACCACTGCAGGCATGTGCCTGAATTTCCTCAGTCCAGAGAGAATGTCTGTCCAGTTTCAAACCAGTTCAGCCTAGTCAAGTTAGACTAACCTGCAAAGATTGAATCAATCTCCGGCTTTTTGAATGTCTGTCCCTACGTCATCTATTCCAACGTCCTAGTATATTTAACTCATCAAGGATGGCAGCCACTGTAGACAAATAGATGTGAGCTCAGTTTAAAATCTCTCAGGTATAACATTTTTCACAGTGCAGCATCTCCAACACCCACTTTTCATATAGGCATTATATATGCATTATATGAATTATGAGTTGGGGCTGAAAAACAGAAAAGACCCATGTGGATGACTGACATTTTATAAATGAGAAAGCATTCTTATTGCAATAACTTAGGATTTGGCAAACTGCAAAAACCTTTTCTCCCTTTTTGTTTTAATCTTTAACAGAATTCCGAACAGGTAAAACCCAACTTTCCCACACTCTATGCGGTAGGTACACAGTCTTAATATTGAGAATTGTATTCCTACGTAACCTCATTCAGCTAAGAGCTTTATGGAAGTCTCAGGCTTTGATCTTTAAAAGGAGAATTGTACCAAGCTTGTAAATAGTATTTAGGAAATAGCACAAGACTGTAAATAACTCTTTAGGATATATGAGAAAAACAGCCTGTCCCAGAAAAGTGGAAATATGACATATCTCTAGAAATGTAGATTTAAATTACCATTATATCTATTAATCCATATAAAGATGAATAGGAAAGTTGTTTACTATTTTGCTATTATTTTAGATTTCAGAACTTGTTGATGGCATTTAGTGGCTGTTCACATACATTCAAAATGCCGTGGAGACAAAGTTCCCAGCTGAAATAGAGATGAACTAATAAATACATAATTACCATCACAAATTCCTGAAAAATAGGAAAGACAGAGTTAAGATAGATGCCAGTGCAATCTTAACTCTGACTCTCTCCATACTTGCATGCAGGGAGTTATCTGCGTGCAACCCAGTTAAGTGTGCCGTATGTATCTCCATTAAATGAGGGACAGAGTAACTGGAGTTTAGCACAGCTGTGATAGTGAGATGACATAACTGGAGATGCCCTGCTCCTCAAGAAAGGGTTTTTGCCTCTCTCAGTACATCTCCCATATGTCTAATCAAGGGAAAGAATCATATTTACTTAACGCCTGTGCGAAGCAGCTAGTATTCTCTTCGGATTCAGATTTGGCCAGTTCGGGGGACTGATTAGATTTGGTGATTGGAATCACTGTCCCGAATTGATTTGAAGATTCGGCCACAGCTGAATTGGCTGAATCTCCGAATCAGCCCCATCCCCTGCCCCCTCTCAAAGGCTGCCCCACTCACTCTCCCAGACCTTTAAAAAAAAGCCCACACACACTGGCTGGTGCCAGGCAGGGGGGCGATCCCTGCTGTCCCCGACTGCCCCATGCCACATGGGGGACTCTGTCATGAGCTCCCTGACTTCTGCCCGCCCTCTCAGCCCCACCATGGCTGCCCCACCCATCCCAGCTCCCAGCCCTTTGCAAAAAAAAAAAGGCCTGGCTCACTGGCTCCTGCCAGGTGGGGGGTGGGGGTGTGTGGTCCCCACTGCCCCACGCTGCCTGAGGTGCTCTGTCACGAGCCTCCAGAAGCCCTGAGGCTGCTGCAGCAGCTGGGGGGGGTGGGGTTTTTTGGGGGGTTTTTTTAGGGCAGGAGGGGGGGGGGGGGGGGGTGTGGTCCCCACTGCCCCACGCTGCCGGAGGTGCTCTGTCACGAGCCTCCAGAAGCCCTGAGGCTGCTGCAGCAGCTGGTGAGTCTGGGTTTTTTGGGGGTTTTTTAAAGGGCCAGGAGCTGGGGTGGGCAGAGCAGCCATGGGGGTGGCGGGGCTGGAAGAGTGGGCTGGGGTCAGGGGGCTTGTGGCAGAGTCCCCCATGTGGCATGGGGTAGCAGGGATCGCCCCTTCACCTGGCAGCAGCCACTGAGTCTGGACTTTTATTTAAAGAACCGGGAGCTGGTGCTGAGCAGGGCAGCCAGGGGGACGGCTTGGGGAGCAGGCAGGGGATTTGGCCTGGCAGGGGTCCCCCCATGGTCCTCTTTCCCCTCCTTCAGCCCCTACACCCCCACCCCCTACTTACTGGCACGGAGTCCGGGTCCAGTTCCCTGCTGCAGCGAGCAGGGACTGCCCAAATTGCCGAAGCTCTCTGAATCTTTTCCGAATCGATTCGGACCTTTTAATTGGTCTCCTGATTCGATTCAGATTCAGAGATTCAGCCACCAAATCGGGCCAAATCTCTGAAACAAATCAGCCCTGAAGCTTTTCACAGCCCTAACGTTTACCTGTAGGGCTCCAATATGTCTTGTTTCAGTGATGAGTTCTGAGTGCAGGTGGTTTCATTACTAGAGTACATCAGTCTTCCTGGCGTAGGGATGACCAGCAATGAGATGAGATGTGAAGGGGTACTGTGGGTTTCATGATAGGTAAATGAAAATACAGTATTGGATGGAATCCTATAGGTAAGGATGTAAGGGCTATAAAATGATGGAAGTTGTAAAATGTAACACATGTGGAATAGCAGCTGTATGTTTTCTGAGGTAGAACAGATGTAAGTAGCTCCTGTTTGACGCAGCATGCTTAAGCATAAGTTTTGCCTCAGCAAACAGGAAGTGGTAGACATCGCCCTACAATAGTCACGTGCCCTTTACACTGAATGAGATGCTCTGTTTGGAAAGGCAGAGTGCAAGTTTGTGTGCTCTGTTTGGATTGGTGCATCACTCAAAGAGCACAGAATCCATTCTGTGTTCATATAGTTAACTTTGTTTACCCTAGTTTTCAGAAGTTTGATTTTTTTGCTGGGCCATAACATTTTGGAAGGCATGATACACCACTGTGCAATGTTAACTCAGCATTAATGAAGATTTTCGTCACTATAACTGTGTGGTACCAAGTACAATAGGACCCTGGGTGGTTAGTGCTATCACATCACAAGTAGCTATTGGTAGGGGTAAGCGAGACTAGAGGGGCATCTGACCTGCCATGGATTTGGAAGTATCTGAAGTCCCAGGCTGTAGAGTCTGGGACAGAGGTTACTTGCTAGTGGTAGCTTGAACGATCGAGTTCTGCTCAGCTGATGGAATTTGAAACTGATTTGGCTAGTCTGGAGGGTAGAATACTTGCTGGTGGTAGTGCCACACAGACTTGAATGATTGAACTCTGCTCAGCTGAAATTTGGAACTTAATTCAGAACTGATTTGACTCTGGAAACAAAATGTTATATATTTTTTTTCAGTTGTTAATAGTTATGGCCTAGAGGCTCTGGGGTTCAGATGCCCCCTAGTCTTGTTTGCTCCAAAAGGCCAAGGAGCAAGGCAGGGGAAAGCATACGTGCAGCCCCCTATTATCACACAATTGAAGCCTGCAGAGGTGTGCACTAGGCAACTGAATCTCCAAATCTGAATCGAAATGGGAGACCTATTAAAAGGTCCAAATTGATTTAGAAAAGATTTGGAAAGATTCGGAGATTTGGAAGCCAGACATGCAGGAAACAGAAACTGAGAAGAGGGAGGGAGAGGAGCTGGGGGGTGGGGAGGGGGAGACTGTTTTGATATTGACATATGTAGTTGGTCAGTGACTGTGATCTTTTCCTGAGTTCCCTTCCAATCACAGTGCTCTGGGGGAGGGACATAGAAACAAAATATAAGGCTGTGTCTGAAGTGATCTGTGCCTTTTGTAAGCTGTCTGTCTTGGACCGGCAGCATCTGAAAGGCTCTGGCTTGCTATCTAGTCTCTTGGTAGCAAGCTAGTCTCTCTTCTTCTGTGTTTTCCCTGACAGTGTGTCATCACTGTGCACTGTAGAAAAGCACAACATATATTACAGACACATACACATTTTGCAGCACACCAAGCCTTATGAAGCATGCTGGAAAGGCAGGTGCCAGGTCTTCTGGCAGGGGTGGGGGAGGGGGCAGAGGGAGAGCTGTAAGTTCCACCCCCACACCCAAACATAGATACACCCTCTTTCCTGGCAGCGATGAGTCTTCTGCTGCTAGTGGGAGCAAGGAGGTGGGAGCAGTGTCTGCACCTACACCACCTTCACTAACACCATCAATAACCACCAGCACCAGCATGACAGTCTCCACCCCAATTTCAGTTCCCAGCATAAGCCTTCCAGTGTCAGAAGAGGAGCTGGATCTGGAAGCAGCAGAGCTGAGTGCTATAGCAAAGGAGATTCTGGGGAAGGAGCAGGACTCTTAGTTTGTGCTCCACACCCCTCAAAGTTTCCTTAGAGGCAGGTCTCTTCTGGAAGGAACTTTGGAGGAGATTGTGGGGGCAGGTGGCTCAGGTCCTCCTGTTGTTGTGCCTCTGCCTGGTGAGGAGGGGGATAAGGCAGGATCCCCACCCGCAACCCAGAAGCAGATGGGTAGTTTAGCGTGGGATCATTTTTAGGTGGCAGATGATCTCAGGTATGCTACCTGCCAGCACTGCCGAAAGCAGATCAGCCAGGGCAAGGATGAGAAGCACTTCACCACCACAGCGATTCTGCTACATCTCAGCAGACAACATACCCTTGCCTTTGTTCCTCCTCAGCCTTGCACCAGTGGGAGTGAGCCCAAAAATAAGTCCCCCCTCTCACTCCAAAGCTCCTGTCCCCAAGCAACAGAGGCAGGCCACCATGGACCAGTGGGGGAAAGGTGGAGACAAAGGGAAGCACTTTCCCAAGGTAAGCAAGGTCACCCAGAGCACTGGGGAGATGCTTGCTCTGGATGGCCAGCCCTTCTCCTTTGTTCAGGCAGCTCGTGGCCCCATCCTACCAAGTGCCCACATGCACCACCTTTAGCACGGTGCTGCCCTCCCTGTATGAGGCATGCAGGGAGTGCTTGAAGGAAGAGCTGTGGAAGGCAGGGCTGCAGGTAGCTTTGCACTTCACCTTGGACATCTGGAGCAGCTGGAGGGGGGAGCATGGCTACCTCTCCCTCCCACTGGTGCAATCAGTCAGGCTGTCGGTGGGCTCTCCTTCAAGCAGAAGTGATGGATAAGTCCCATATGGCAAGGAAGATCATGGTGGCCATGAACCACATGGCTTGTTGGGCAGGGTGAGCTCACCCACAGATTCATGGTCATCAGCAACAGGGCCAATATGGTGAAGGCGGTGCGTGATGCCAACTTTGTTGGCATCCACAGTGTGGCACACAAGTTCCACCTCATAGTCAGGGACACCATGGAGGGAGACAGGGCTCCTGGTGATGGTGCTGTCATTACCACTACCAGCCAGCTCATTTCAAAATGCAGGAAGGTGGTGGGCTATTTTCACTGGAGCATCAAGGGGGGCAAGGTGCTGCAGGACAAACAGGTAGAGCTGAGCATCCCACAGCACAAAATCATGCAGGATGTGGAGACTCACTGGAACTCTACATACCCAATGCTCAAAAGGCTGGTCAAGCAATAGCCATGAGATGGCCTTGGTCGGGGACATTGGGATCAGCGGCCCCCTTAACAAAACAGAGTGTGATACCATCTCCCAGAGCTTGGTGGTCCTCAAGCCATTCCTCGAGGCCGCTGAAAGCCTCAGTGCTGGCAATGCCCTCCTTAGCCAGGTGATCCCCATAGCGAAAGAGCTTGAGAATCAAATGGAGAAGTTCCAGGGGATCAATGTTCCTGGCTGGGGCAAGCCGCTTCCCCCAGAGATGCAGGCACGGATGAAGCGGCTGAAGTAGGGCATCAAGAAATGGCTGGATCCGTTGCAGTCCAGTACGGCCCACATGCTGGTGGACATATGTGACCCGAGGGTGAAGGGGAGCATCTGCAGCAGCAAAACCCTTGATCATTGGACAGAGGTGCTGATGAACAGAGTCAGGGAGGCAGAAGGGCAGAGGCAGGGGAACATGGAAGAGGGGAATCCACTTTCCCCTGCCAGCACTCCAAGCACCAGCCAATCTCCTCCACCACAGCTGCTGCCAATGTGGGCCAAGGGCGTGGCTTCAGTGTTGGGGTCCAGAGGCACCAGACCCCACCTTCAGGTAGGCAGCATGGAGGCCTCAGTGGCTACCTATCTCACCAAGGATGTGGAGCTGCTGCACTGCGACCCCTTGGCCTATTGGGCAAGCTGCAGCCAGGTGTGACAGGATCTGGCCACAGGTGCCCGGGAACACCTGTCCACCAACCAGTGTTCCAAGTGAGAGGGTGTTCAGCATGGCTGGTGATGTTGTGACACCCCACCACACCTCCTTGGATCCTGGTTTGGTGGAGCAGCTGGTGTTCCTGCAGGTGAACCTCCTGCTGCTGGGGTTCCCTAAGCTCCACATGCAGACGGTGTGAGTGCCAGCCTCCTCACTCCACACCTACTTCCTTTTTTTAGTTGCTTTCCAAACCGTTTAATGCCCCACTCTCAGAGCTGGAGGCAGCAGTTTAGTTTATCACCAGGCAGCAGAGATAGAACATCTCCCTGCTGAGCTCCCATGTCAGGACAAACTTGGAGATATGAGCTGGGGCTATGGGGAAGGAGGCGGCCTCAGGTCCTAAGCATGACCTAAAACTACATCCTGCCAGGGTAGGGAGACCTGATGGGACTGCCGGTGGCATGGCAGCTTGAGGAAATGCCAGGACCATGAACCTTCCTGGTGAAAGGTGGGTAAGGGCACCTGATAACCTCCAGCCACTGCATGTACTCACAGTCCTGGCTGGGGAAAGCCCAGACCTGTACAATCTTTGAGAGGCCTGAGGCTTACTGGTTGCAGTGCAGTTGTGAGGGTGACAACAGGCAGGCGGCTCAGATCCGACCTGAGGTACCCTCAACTGATCCATGCTGGAGCCAGGACCTGAAGGGGGTGGAGGGGCGGGGTAGAAGGGCCAAGGGCCCACTGCAAGGAATGTCCAGAGCAAGAGGCTCGGGATTCCGACTGGCCTGAAGGCGGGGCCAGGGCCTAAGGGGGAGCCAAAGGTCCCAGAGAGGGGACCACAGCTGGAGGGGGTGAAGGGTGCAATCTGTGAGGCATGGGCTACAGTGTAGGGAAGGTATGGAGCTGCGGAATGGATGTCAGCCCTAGACATCAGGGGCCTAAATGGGCACCCTCCTGCCTGGTTACCATTTGAATCAGTTTTCCATCAAGGCGTAGCAGGTGAAAGAGGGGTGGGCGGTTGGCCCAGAAACAGGTCAGGATCTAACGGGCACTGGGAAGGCCCCCTGTTATAGGCTACCAGCCCTGCTGCATTCATCCCACTCTGCCTTAATGCACACAAGGCAGACCAATTTCTTTGGGGCAATATGATATCTTTTATTAGACCAGCTGAATAGTTGAAGAAATATATCTTAGCAAGCTTTCAGGTTTAAAAACCCTTCGTCAGGCTGAGGAAGTATTTGCATTTTATGTGTGTGCTTCATGCCCTCAGGAGGGGCTACCATCCCCACTGTCTTCATCCTGCTCTGCCTTAACACACACAAGTGATACAAGTTTTGCTTTCAACAGTTTGAGCAGTACTTTCACAGAACCCCCTGTACCTAGCTCCTTGAAACTTGGAAGGCTTCATGCCCTCAGAAGGAGCTATCACCTCTGCTGTTTTCACCTGAATCAGCAAAACAATGACAAAGTTAGAGGTATTTTAGTGATTCCCCATTATAGTCTATGGATGAAGCTCCAGATCGGCGCTGAATCTTGGAATCCAATTCGGCCAAATTGAATAGGGACAGTGACTCGAATCACTGAATTGAATCACTGTCCCTCCAAATTGGCCAAATCTGAATCCAATACTTACCACTTTGCACAGGCCTAACTGGCACACCCAGAGTGCAGTGAGCAGGCCTCACCCTGGGAAAACCATCAGCAATCTTGCACTTAGTATGCCTGCCATGGACTTGGGGAGTATCTCAAGTCCCAGACTGATGGGTCTGGGAGGAAGAATACTTGTGGTGAAGTCTCACAGACTTGAATGATTGAGCCCTGCTCAGTTGATATTTGGAACTTGACTACTGGGCTCTGCTCAAGTGAATTCGGAATGGTTTTTTTTTAATGGATTTTTATTTATTATTAATTTTGTTTCAAGGGCTGTTAACAGTACTGGGATTTCATTACCAGATATTCTGGAGATTTAACATCTGTGTTGTCTGACCTCCTATTATGATAGATGTTGAGGTTGTTTCTTCAAAAATGGGGGGGTTTTTTGTATGGTTTAGGAGTGTGCAAATTAGAGCTGGAGAGCCAAATTTGGTCAGCAGAGCAATATCCTGTGCATGCAATAAATATATGGACAGAGCTAATCATATGAATTTATTCACTGATGGGCAATTGAGAAGATCATTATCTGTTGGATATGTATCTTTCTTGCAAAATTAATAAAGTATGATAATATAGTACAGAAAGATGGAAAAGTCCTTTTAGTTAAAAACCATACCAGTAAAGACCATTACATTCACCTAGAAGTCCAAGATATTCCTGCACATTACTTATTACAGGTTTCCCTTGCTTTATGCTGTACATGTGTTCATGGCAAATGGCACATAACTCGAATTTGCATAAAGGGAACCCACTTTACAATGTAACAAATAGGGATATGTTCCAAGACCTTGACTGTGCTGACCCCCAAGCCCATTTCTACTGCTTTTACAAGACAATTTTGGTACTCACCAACAGAAATAGTACACAAAAGCACAGGGCACTATCATAATGAGGACAGCAACTACAGAAACACGTGTCGCAGACAGTGAGCAGGGAACACAGATTCACACAAGAGACTATATTTTGGTGTGCGTCACTCATGCAATGCACCGCACAAAGCAGCTGACTATGGGCTTCCACCACACCAATTGCATAAGAGTGAATTTACCTTGCATATAATGAATTTTTGGTATAAAAAGGGTCATCGCATAAAAGCGAATTTGCACATGCAGAACCCGCATAAAGCCAGAGAAACCTGTACTAGTTATTTACATTTAGTGCTCAAATTTAGTGTTGGTACTCAGTGTCTCAGCGTTTTGACACCTCTGATTTAGGATGGCCTCGGCTAGAGAAAAGTTACTTTGGATCCTTCTCAAGCCAGCTGGAGAGAGAAATCAGACTTTCTATAAATGCAACACTGGCTGTTGGTATCAAATCATTTGTTTGTTGTATACAAAATGGTGGATCATTGCCACTTATTACAAATAGTAGTAGAGAGAGCTGGAAGAGTGGGAGAGACTTTCCCCCCTTCTGTTCAGTTTGATCCTTTCTTTATGATGCATTCCAGTGACAGCTCAGCTTCCAGGAGCAGATGGCTACACAGGAGGGAAGATTATCTTCATTGATACTGAAAACACTTTGTATCTTTTTAATGAAGCAAGTTGCAAGTTCGATGGTATGGCATAGTGATGCATTTTGCAGTAAGCATAACGCCCCCATAATCTCTTTACATTTTGTCTCACAAGACAGGTAAAACACACTGAAAAGCACTGTACATAAATAAAGGTATGGAGTTGTCTATTGAATTTGACCTATGGCATCATGAGGAAAAATAAAGCAGTATAATTTACTGTTATTATGAATAAGTAAGACAAGAAGGCTGAATAGTTCCAGGTATGGAAGTTCTTATGCAGTGTCTCTTATCTCTCAGTCATTAGTAATAATCCATCCCAATTTTGGGTTGAAGGCACAATACAAATCTAGTTGCATCTTTTCTGTATTTCTAGTATGCCCATCTCTACAACAACTATAATAAAAGTTTTTCATATTTAACACTAGGTTCCAGGTAAGTAGTAATCCCTGCTGTTATTACCTTGTAATCACCACTTGTTATCTATTTGATGAACAGTGTAAAATTATTTTTGGCTTTCTTTCCAGTCCCTAGGAGACAGATGTCTATATCATAAAAAATAACATTGCCCTGAGCCACAATTTGTGCTTTTATTCAAGTGGAAGCAGAGATTATGGTGCCTTGTCTGGGAGAAAAATAGATATTAATGTAGTTTCCATACTAAATTCAAACTTAAATATCATGATTTGCATTGTTTATCCAAACAGAATCCTTAACTGTGACATACTGCAGCCGTCCAGATCGTCTTCGTGATATTGCTGATCGTTTCAGTGTGGACCATGATGCAGTTCTTGACAATGTGCTGTATGCTCGTGCATATACCAGTAAGATCATCACTGGAATAGGCACAGTAGCCTATTTTTTTTCTGTAGTTCTCAGTTTATTTACTGAGACTTCCCACTCATGATCACTAAAATTTTCTGAGATTGGGGCAAAGGTTGGAAGCTTGCTTCTATTTTTCTGTGTGATTGTCTTCTGTAGCAGATCTTATCAGGACAGTATTTCCTGTTCAGTGATGTTTTATAAATTCAATTCCAACAATACAAAGTAAATTCTATTTGATATCTGAGTATCATCATATCATCTGAACATGACTCCTTTGAAACACTATGAGAAATAACACACTGGTACCTATGAAGACTAGTCACAAGTGCTTCAGTATAGGCCAACAGTAAAAATAGGTGATTTTTTATTGTGAATAGGAACCTTATAGACAAGGCTTCACTCATTTCGAGGTGAGCTCCCTATAGCCTGCAGCACTATGGAACAGCAGATTGAAAATTCTATTGCAGCTTCAATTTGTAAATTTAAAAGTGAAGGTTTTTTCCCTGAATTAGTTATGGAGATTAATAATGTGCTTAATACAATGTTCCTTGTATTACTTAATTTTATGTTCAATTCAATTAATTGTATGTTGTCCTTCAATTTAAAATATGCATCAAAACCTGTCTTGCACAATTGCACTCTATAAATTATTATGAGCAAATTAAAGGTTTTGATAGTTGAGTAGGTGGTAGGTGAAACTCACAGATGCCAGAGAAGTCTTTAGGAATTGTGAGATAAACACATTAGTTTGTTATTGCTATAAAAATTATTGGTGGTGATGTAGTAAACAATGGTGACATTTCATCTGTCATCTTAACTTTTATAGCACCCCATTTATGAATGAGGCAGTTCACACATCTCAGAAATATCACTTCAAGCTGTCTACAAACTGCAAAATGTAATGTTTCAAGAATGAAAACTGAGAATTCTATATTGTGCCAGGCAGTGCCATGCTAAGCATGTTGCTGTTAGGCTGAGATATGGCACCCTTACCCCAAGCCAGGTAGATTCTGAACCAGAAGTAGTGCTGCTGCATGTGTGGTACATGTGGCCCAAAAAGCTCTGCTAAGTGATGTTCTAAAAGACTGACTTTATTGGTACATACACATCACTGCACTAAGGCAACTACGCTACTTTCTATTTGGGAGCTGGAGGGTGCGGTATGTCTCAGCATGGCATTGCCTTGAGCCATACAGACATACACTGAGCTTTTTGGTGCACAATGTTATAAGTAGTGAGTGGACACTAAAATTTTTGAAGCCACAGAATCATGGAATACATGGGATCCTGCTTATATACACTCTCAGTTTCCTGACTTGCTTCCATCATCTTACTAGTTAAGCTAATACGAGATTCAGAAAAAAAAGTTGTTGGTACAGTTTATATTCTGCATGGGTATATAGCCTAGGAACTGAGAAGAAGCTATATCCTTATCTAAAGGATGCACTTACCTAAATTTAATGTAAACAGTGCTCATTAATAAGGTCTGCACTAACTTTTTCACACCTTATTAAAGCTTGTTACCATTTCAGAAACCTTATGTACTTAATACAAACCTAGAAACAGAAATGATTAAGGCTGGTTTAAAAGTCTTGAAATTGACTCTCCTAATCAGTTTCACTAATCACTAATTTAAGGGGAAACAAAGTGGGAAGACAAAATTGCAAACACAGGTGCTAGAGTATGTAGGACTGACACACCTAGAAACCACTATTGAGAAGAGGAGGTTGTGATGACTGGCCATGTTAGGAGAATGGGAGGAGACTGCATCCCCAAGAATATTTCAGACAGAAAGCAGAGTCGCCCTTTATGGAACTACCATGACATGCAAAAATGATATGAAGTTGTTCAACATCAATGAAAAGCTGGAAGAAGTAGGCAGAATCCCATCCAATCTGGAAGGAACATCTGGAATTGGGTACAGATCAACATGAAGTGGCTTTGATCCAGAGGATGGAAGAAAAGCAAGAAAGAAGGAAGCAGTATGTTGTAAACTTGGACTCCAACTCAGACAACATATGGATCTGTGAAACTTGTAATAAGTTGAGTCACTTTTGAATTGGGCTTGTCAGCCACAAGTGGATTAATCAGACACCTGACCAGACCTCTTATGTGTACACCAGGATCCAGAGAATTGACGGTTGCCTGTATATATAATTTAAGGGAAATATACAAATTAGAAAGTAGAGTCAGAGAGTATCTATGCATTTAAACATTGGCATATTTGCCAAGTGGCAAAGAAATTGAGACTGAAATTGTGTTATGCACTTAAGCAATTGTACACTTACTCAATATGAACATAAGTGATAAGGCTTTACTCATATAATTCTACCAGTAAGACTTGTTAGTGTACATATAGCTTACACTGGCAAAAATAGCTAACCAAAACAATTCAGTTAGCAAAAACACATTTATGCTGGTATAACAAAATCTAGACTATTTTTTTCTGGCATAAAGATATCACAAAGCAATTGCATAGCAACTAACATTACTATATTAACAACATGTGATGGGATAAACCTAGCCTTCTAGCTGCTTCAACCCTCTGATGCTTTCTGATCCCAGTTTCATTCTTCAACTATACATTCTACTAGGTGAACATCAGATGGAACTGCTTGACTATGTAGCAGCAAAGTTCCATGAGGAAGCTGGCATCTTCAAGCTATTGGTATAAGCCCCTAATTATTTTACTTTCTGCATCAGCCATGTGCTTTCAGAATAGTTCGCCCTATTTGTTCATAACATACTTATCCGTTTTGTATTATTATAATGCAGATCATTGACTCCATTATGGCACTCTTTCGTGTGGATTTTAGTGGCCGCGGGGAGTTGGCTGAACGGCAACAGAAACTTGCTCAGATGTTATCAAGACTCCAGAAAATCTCAGAGGGTAAGGAAGACTTTGCAAAAAAGAGTGAAAATCTTTGGAAGCTACTAAAAAGGCTAGTTACTGCCTAATACTACCACCAAATATCTCCAATGTATTTATCAGGTAGATGCTAGACAGCAAATCCTCCATTGCCTTACATCACCCACCACTAGAAAATTATACTTCTAAATCATTTCACTTCAAACTGACCAGTATAAAACTCTCCAGGATTCTTCAAAATGTAGAGGTTTCTCAGAATTGTTATTTGTTTTACAGCAGTGTCTAGAAGCCCTAACTGAAAGAATTGGGGCACTTTGTAAATACATAGTAAGAGACAGCTTCTGCTCTAAAGAGTTTACATTCTAAATAGACAAGAGGAAAGTAGGAGGTAAACCAGAGGCCCAGAGAAGTAAAGTAGCTTGTTCAGCTTCACATTCTCTTAGCACTATAAAATGTCACGAGGGATTATGACTGGATAAGTAGCAGGATGCATTCTTTCCTCTGTTTGGACTGATTCAGAACAGTAAGTTCTTCCTGCAAAAACATTCTTCCACAGAATAAAAAAAAGACAAGAAAAAAACCTTCTAGAATTGGATTTTCAAAACTGCTCAGTCGGGGAGTGCGAAGTGGGCTGTATTTGATTCGGATTCAGCCTGAATTGGTGACAGTGATTTGATTCGTTGATTTGGATCGCTGTCCCCGATTCAATTCGGCTGAATCTGAAGATTCGATACTTATTTGGAGAATCTGCAGTTCAGCCCTAGACATAGCTTTAAATGTTTTTTACATACCTTGACGTACCAGTGCAGCTTGTGCATGCTCTGATGCTGGGGTGCATGGAGGATCCCACAGGAGCATGGGGGTCCCCCTGCATGCTTGGCAGCGAACCTGGAAGTGGACTGGAAGTACTTCTAGTCCACTTCCGGGTCTGTTGGGGAGCGTGCTGAGGGCCCCCCCCACCTCCCCGGCTCTGCAGTTGACCCCGGGTGCCCCCCCAGACCCACCAGTTGCCGAGCCAGGGCAGTGTGGGGGGTCCCCCAGCAAGCTCCCCACCAAACCCAGAAGTGGACCAGAAGTGGTTCTGGTCCACTTCCAGGTCTGCTGCCAAATGTGCTGGGGAGCCCCCCATGCTCCTGTGGGATGCTGCATCCGCCCCAGCATCACAGCATTCACAAGGTAGGTAGAAAAAACATTTAAAGCTGTGTCTATATCCAAATCGCCAAATCTTTCAGAATCTCTCTGAATCGAGAGATTAAAGGGTCTCCTGATTTGATTCAGATTCAGAGATTCAGCCACCAAATTGAGTCTAATCTCCGCCAAATCGAAATCAGGGACCAAAGCTTTGCACAGCCCTACTGTTCAGCATTAGCTGACCTCTGCTATTACCTAAGTTAAATGGGAACAAAGCCCAGCAGTGATCATTTTTGAAAATTCTATCCCTATGTAATTCATACCAGAAGAGAGATGGAGAGACATTCTCATGTTTGTGAAGCCCTAGAACTGTTTAGCAAGCAACAGCTTCTTTTGTCCCATTTTTGCAAAGATACGCATGAATTCCAACTGGATATCTTCCCCTTTCTCTTGTCCTTTGTTGTAGAATATAATGTGGCTGTGTTTGTGACCAATCAGATGACTGCTGATCCAGGGGCAACTATGACGTAAGTCACTTACCCTCCTTTTTTTCTTTTACACTGCCCCTTTCACATTGTATACTTAATGGAAATGGAAATTGGGGTTGCATGGGGAAGGACAAGCACATGTGTGAAAATACAACTTTTATTTTTAAATAGGATTGAGTCTGGGCTATGACTGGCCCTCCTAGTGCGGTTAGCCCTTATACATTCATATGAATCTATGGCCATTCATTTTCTGCTTGTCGTCGATGGCTCCTTTTACTGGCTTGAATTTAAGACAGAAGTCAGGGTAGATACATTTTTACAGATTTAACTAAATAAGCCATGTTAAAAGTGCTGACGAACATTTTTAGAAGTAGTTTATGGACAAAGATGAAGGGTGGCAATTTTAAAATGTTCAGCAGTAACCTAACTCTGATCCTGTTAAAGTCCATGGGAGCAGTAATAATTAGACTAACACTGAGCACTTTGACAATCCTACTTAAAGACATACATGTAACAAAAGCTTAGCTAAATCCTCTGTGATACATCTGTTTACCTGAGACTATCACACATTGTCTGACACTTAATTATAGTTGTTATTCCGTGGAATTCACAGAGACACTTAATCATTTTTTCTGAATGTAGTTTTCAGGCAGACCCTAAAAAGCCCATTGGTGGCCACATCTTGGCCCATGCTTCAACCACAAGGATCAGCTTACGGAAGGGGAGGGGGGAGCTGCGCATTGCCAAGATATATGACAGGTAAATTACCTCTTCTTTGTAGAGAGGACCTGTGTTATGTGGACAATTAATGGGAGACAAAGTCCATGCTCCTGGGACATGACAGCCTCAGAGCTGATAGTTAAATTTCAAATTAAACATGTTTTTGGATTATATTTTGAGAAAAAAGAAAGACAACTTAATTAACCAGGTGATCTAATTTTAAACTTTCTCACAAGCAAATGAAATTGGAAATTCAATTAGCATAATTTCCACCATATATTTGTCTTAAGTAGACTTCAAAATTGGTATAATTGGTGGTCTGTTCCCAGAAAAGGTCCAAGGCTGGAATAATAGGAGCTTCCATGGATCCAGATTTATATTAACAGCCTATATAAAGCTACAGAAAGAATAGATAAGGACTAATTCGCTTTAGCAGAACAGCAAAGGGACTTCCAGGTGGTATTCCTGGAATCGGGTGTGGCAAAAATAGAATACATGGATGAAAACCTAGATAGCCAGATTCTTTGGTTGTGACATGTCTCTTAACCAACCACCTCCCTTTCCACCCTTCTACCTCCAAACAGGAAACTTAAATCATAAAAAGCCCTGCATTTTTTGTGAAAGTTACTAGTCTTTATTTGTGAAGGGCTTAAGAAGGAATTAACTAATATGCAGACGTTGGGCTTACCCTGTTCATAAGGAGGTTTTCACACATTTTAATTACTGATCCTGATAGAAAAATGTCTACAATGTACAAGTGGGCACAAGGGCTTTGATGAATATTTTAGCTTGTTTGTGCTGATAACATTTTGGGGACTGCGTTTTGAAACAGAGAAGAGAGACACTTCCTTGCTTCTTTTACCCACCAGCCCTGAGATGCCTGAAAATGAAGCCACATTTGCCATAACTACTGGAGGAATTGGGGATGCCAAAGAATAAGCAGAAACCTGGCAAAAATCTCCATCTGAAAACAGCCCAGATAAAGCCAAAGTATCCAAGGTTACTGACTCCCTGATTACTTTGTATTTTTCAGGCTCAGTTTTGGATATTTAGAATTGGGAGCACACTAGAAAGTTATTAGGAGATCATATTTCAGTGATCTGAACAGGAACTGGTTCATGTTATTTATTTTTTTTAAATGAAATTTGCAGCAGTCAGAAATTTACAAAGCAAAGAAACTTGTGACTCATTCAAGAAATGTCTTCTTTAGGGTTTGTGAGAAGTAAAGCTGTTTTATCCCATGGGCTTAATGTGACCTTTTATAGTTTATTGGGAAGAGAATGTCTGTGAGATAGGGTGTACACAGCATGGAATAAAACAGCACTGAAACAAACATGGTTTAAAAAAATGAGTGGTTAATACATTGAGGGGAAATGCAGTGGACAGACACAGGAATACAGGACCTTGCTAAGATCTCATTGAGAATAGAAGAATGATAGTTACTTGAAGACAATTTTTAGAAATTTTAATCTTGATTAATTAGTGATTTATTTGTATTTAATTCTGTTTTAGAATATTTAACAATGTTATGTATTTTCATGTTAATGGAAAATACCAAATTAGAACATCTCCTGTTCCCTATGCTTGTGTACAATACATATACTTTAAGTCAAACCCTGATCACCTGAACTGGCCTATTAACTTTGTTGTGAGAACTTCAATGAGCAAACTAAATAGGATGGAGCCCAATATTTCAAATAAATAAGCAGAAAACAAAATGTGTAAATTAAAGAAACATTCCATGTTTAACACTTTGAGGGATTTTTAGCACCTAGTAGCAAATCCTCTTTGCAGCCAAAAAAAGCCCAATGGGAGGCCAACTTTAGCATCTGGTTTGAGGGTTTCTATTCACCACTAAAAAGGTGCATTTTTTAACAGAGTAATTAAAGTACAAGTGCTATCCTAAGGCAAAAGCACAGAGATGACAAATCACTTTAGTCTTACTGCAAGAAACTCATTGTGGTTGACTACTCTTTCTTGACGTTGACTTCAATGTATTTGCTTCACAGTGAGACTACAGTGCATCCTCTTCACTATAGTATTTACCTTATGATAGGTCATATTCATCAATTATTTTGAGGCAAGAAACAAAACTTTTTAAAAAGTTAAGTCAGGTCTAGAGAAAAAATAAGGCATACCCTTTTTAATGACTTGCTCAGTCAACCATTTCCAGACTTGTTCAGAGTGAAAAGAGAGAGTTTATTTTATGAATCATTTCTCTTCCCATTCACAGTTATATAATATCTATATGGCAACAAGAACAATTACTTTTTTTAGGAAAGGAACATTAGAAATATATATAATGTATGGTTTGAATTCTTTAAATGCAGTTCAAGGAAGGCTGTCAGCACCATTTGACCAGTAAATGACAACACACATTGTGAAACACAAGATAAAAGAAGCCCCAGCTTAATGCCAAAGTGGTATTGCAGATAGTTTAGATAACTGCTCTGTTAAAATGTGGACTCAAGCAGGAAAACGTTTGAGAACCCCTGAGCTACACAGTTTGATCACAAAGTGGACAAAATATAAGATCTTGCCATCATATACAAATACTGATGATCAATCAAGAATTTAATAAATTTAATGTGGTCTAATATGAATTTAAATACCAGGCAGGCCACTCACTTATATAACACATAAAAACAAGCAATAAAAGAAGATTTAATACATGAGAAAAGTGTATTTCCCACTGTTTTATGGATGGGTCAGGGAATAATCTTCAAAATCACTCTCAGATTTAATCAGAGTTCAATTAGTTGTCAAAAAGGAGCTAGGCCCATTTTTAGTCTTGAGGAATAACTGACTTTTGAATAAAATTATTTCAGTGGAGCATCAACTATTTGGCAAGTCAGTTAACTAGAAAGTGTTGTATTAACAAAACTATCAGTCCACAGTTGGGTTGCTTGTTGGTGAGACAACTGTGTATTGTCTACTAACTAATGTTCTGAGATCTTTAAGCATTACACAATACTATACATTCATTCCTTGATATTTTTTGTTAGCTCACTACACAGAACAGTGATTAAAGTGCAGTTTTTATCACTTCATATTGTGGTGTTTGATTATCTAGGACAGGCACCAAAACATAAGGCCACCTGGCTGCATCTGGCCTGCAAAGCTCCATCATCCAGCTCCTAGTGCTGCCCCTGTGTCCGAATTAACCCATATAGTACATGCCAGACTAGCCCTGCACATAAGGCCTGGGATGCGCACCACATACCGTGCTGGCTTCAGGATCTGCACTATACCTGGTGCCAGCTCCAGCTCATCCAGTACCGTGTCACACAGGTTCCCTTCCTTTCCCACTGCCTTGCGCCTTCCCCTGCCAGTCCAGGATGTGCACCACACACAGCGCAGTCCTTGACCAGTGGTGTGGGCACCGCGTACAACAC